TCTCTCTCTCTCTCTCTCTGTGTTGATGTTATTTTGGGTGGGATAGGGAACTATTTTTTTACAGTAGTATTTTTCATTTTATTAGACAAGCTCAATCTATAGTAGTCTGTTCATCAGAATGATTTTTTTCACTTGTTTATTTACAAGATTCTAATACAAATTTGAACAAATTCTTTCAACTTCCCTCACCCCAGCACCCATCAAATTGTACAACCCAATGATTAATCCCCTCTTCCGCCTGTACCATCCACACCCCTCTGCTTCCAGCCTCCTGGATCTTTATACTCATTCTACAGTAATGATCTTATACAATATTTATCCTTGAGTTAGTTCACTCAGCATAATGCTCTCCAGTTAAGGAACTCTTCTTACCAGGAAATAGCCTGTTCTGCAGGATGTAGGGTGACATATCTGCAGTTTTGTTTCAAATGGCTTAGCAAAAGAGTAAGTTACATAAATCAATAATGTAAAGAAAGATAAAATAAACTTACTACAATGTTAATTAGAGATTTTAGGTGAAGACCTTAAGAGTGTTCATTGTTAAATTTCAATTACACTTGAAAGATTACAAGATTGAAGAAGGCTTATATATATGTTTTCTAATTGGATTAGTTGTTTTCTATTTAAACTTCAGTAAATTCTTAAGTTGTTTCACGAAATTCTCTTTGTCTGCCAATTCCTTTTGATATAGTGACTCTGTATACTCTTTACATCTTTTAATGCTTCCTGGATTATTTAATATTCTGCCCAAAGCATTTTTAAGTATTGCAACTCGAGTCTTGAATTTATTCTTCAGTGCCTTCAGCTTAAGAAATGCTGAGCGAGTTTGGCCCCTTTGATTTTCTGACTCCAGCTCTTTGCACATTTCATTGTAATACTTTGTCTTCCCATGCTACCCTTTGAAATATTCTGTTCCACTCCTTAATATTATGATTTCTACCCTTTACTTTGACTTCTCAGCACTCTAGTGCAATATTCATTGTTCTTCTGACATCCATCTTGGTATTTTCTTCCTCCTCTGGAGGTATATTCATCAACAGTCTGCGTTATGCAGATGACACCACCCTGCATGCTGAAACTGAGGAGGACCTGAAGCACTTGTTGCAGAAGGTCAAGGACTGCAGCCTTCAATATGGATTGAAGCTCAGCATGGAGAAAACAAAGATTCTCATCACTGGGTTGATTGGCAACATTGTGATAGATGGTGACAAGATTAAGAATGTTAATAGCTTTAGTTTGCTTGACTCCACAATCCACACTCTTGCTACGAGCAGACAGGAAATAAAAAGATGAATTGCATTGGGAAAGTATGCTGTCTTGGAGACCTCTCCATTGTACTGAAGAGCAACAGTGTCAGTCTGGAGACTAAGGTGTGCCTGTTCCAGGCCACGATCTTTGCAGTTACTTGCTATGCATCAGAAAACTGGACAATAACTAGAAATGACAGAAGGAGAATTGGTGCCTTTGAACTGTGGTGCTGGAGAAGAGTATTGAATGAACTACTAGGAGAGCAAACAAGTTCATCCTAGAGGATGAAACTAGGCTGCTCCTTGGAGGCAAGATTCTGAAGCTTCATCTGGCATGTTGCAACGTGGGACCAGTCCATGGAGAGAAACATCATGCTTGGGAGATGGAGAGACAGCGCAGGAGAGGAAGGCCCTTGATGAGATCAGTTGACTCTGACTGGGGTGATGGGGGTAGGTGTGTCAGAGACAATAAGATTGGCACAAGATAGAGCAGGTTTTAGGGCCCTTGGACTTAGGGTCGCTATGAATCTCAGGTGACTCGACGGCACACCACCACCACCACCACCACTAACACAACAACAACAAATTCTTTTTTTTTTTGGAAAAACATACTGGGGGTACAAGGAGGTGAGGGTTGGGGGCAGAAGGGTGAGGATGGGCAGGGATGCAGTTGCAGAGCTGCACAGTTTGGTTGGTGGGGGGAGCAGGTGAAGGAAATGATGAGGATCCAGTGGGGACCAGAGCAAAAACAAATTCTTGAGTGAAATAACACTTCCATAAAATTGAACCCAGCTCCTGCTTATACTTTATGATAGAGTAGAAATGACCATAGGGATCTGGAGGCTACCCCATCTTTTCCCTGTGGAGCTCTTAGGGAATTTGAACCTTTTAATCTCTTGGATTAGCAGTTGAATGCATTGGACACTGCACCACCAGGACTCTTTATGTGAAATAATTCACTGAGAAATAGTTTCTTTACAATATTTTTATTCCTTATTTCAAGATCATATCTTCATTTTTAGGCTGCCAGAAAAAACTTTACAGTAGAATGTAATGCTAAATTAACCGTGCTACTAATTTTTTATTGACTTTATTGACTATGTCATATTGAATAGAAGTAAATAAGAAATCTATCTTTTTATTTTTCTTTTAAAGAGGAATCAGGTATTATAGTAAGTGCAAAAACTAAAAAGAAACTTTTTCTTTGCCAAGAAGACAGTTGTTTTTTTTTTTTTGTTAACAAATGATCTTTTATTGAAATATTTTCATCTGTAGTTCTTAGTTTGAATCAGTTTGTTTCCTTGGTTCTGTGGCTTTGGGGAACTGATTTGCCTTAAATTATTGGTTGTATCTTTCCAACTAAATTGATTTTACTTGTGAAGACGTTCCTTTGAATTTTATTTATGAATTTGTATTTATTTATTTTTTTTAAATTGTGTTTTTAATGAAGGTTTACAGAGAGGTTGAGTTTTCATTCATTCATTATTGCACATTTTCCTCCCCCCCATTTCTCTTTTATTAATTTTCAGGTAAAGATAGGCATATACATGTATGAAAATATATGTAAATTTTTTAATTCCTTAGTGTATCTTATTTAAAGATCTAAGATTTGTTTAAAATAAGGACATTATGGATGGTGGCTTTATATGATACATGAGTACAGCAACAATGAATGAATATTTGAAAAAAACAAAAAAGTAAACGGGAGGGTGGGAGAGAGGGAGAAGGGGTAAAAATGTGCAACACAATGAATGAAAATCTAACGTTTTTGTATACTTCAGTTAAAATTACAATTAAAATAAAAAATTTTATATTAAAAACATATTCTTAATGGATAAAAGAATTCTCGTAGGTTAATGTGCAAAAGGAGATTAAAATTTTCCTTGAAGTCTTTGATAATTAAAAGAAAAGCCCAATAATTAAGTCACTTATAAAACTTAACATACGATGATTTAATGGTGATTTGGTGTGTTGTTATAGGCAACTTTGTAATAAATTGTTAATTTCATGCTTTCTTTTTGAATTTTCTTCTTTGTCCAGAAAAAATTAGGTTGAAATTTATGATCATAAATGTTTATCTGATCAATAGCGTAATGAGGCAGATTAATCAACAATATAGGATATTAAAAGTGCTTTTTAAAAATTTCCTAGTTATTGTTTTTAAATAGAATATGGAATTGATAATTGTTTTGGTTTTAAAAATAATTTGAGATTTTGTTTTGCAGTTGAAAATTGAGAAAATCATGAAAGAAAAAGAAGAACTTTTAAAATTAATTGCGGTTCTAGAAAAAGAAACAGCACAACTTCGAGAGCAAGTTGGAAGGATGGAAAGTGAACTTAATCATGAAAAAGAAAAGTGTGACCACCTGCAAGCAGAACAAAAGGTGAATTGTGCCTTAAGTCCTTCCTTCCAAGAACTGAAGTAATTAAAGTGGGTACAAACAGGCTATTTCAAAAAGTAACATTTTAACATTTATGTAAGAATATGTCAGTTCCTGTTACCCTTCTGCTGTAGCTTCTGTTTTAAAATGATTGAAATATTTGCAGTACCAGGCTTTGTGAGAGTAGTCCCTAACAACTGTTTCCAGATGTTTTACAAAAAATTCTAGAATACTTTATAAATAATTTTTAGGGAGGTGGTGGCTAGAAATATAATGTTGTTGTTTTTTTCCTTCTCACCCCACTCTAATTCAGGCTCCTATCCCATCTACAGTAGTGAAGGATTTCTTTTATGTTGAGTTCTTACCTACCTGCCTCTCTGGCTTAGTCATCTAAGATTATTGTAGCAGAAATACCACACATGGATGACTTTTAGCCAACATATTTTCCTCACAGTTCAAGAAATTAGAAATCTAAATTAAGGGCACCTGCTCCAGAGGCAGGTAATCTGTCCCTTCTGTCTAAAACAATGGTATTTATACAAAAAATTGATTGACACAATTAACATTTTAACATGTGAAATGATCAACATCAAGAAAAGGGAAAATAGACTAAGATAATCAAAATTAATTTTCAGAAATCCCCCAAAACTCTGAAATAAGGTGTACAAGATAAAATTTTTGAAATACTCATTTGAGAAATGCTAATTAAGTGATATTTTAATCATAAAAATACCACATAATTAAATTTGACAGGGGTTTTTTGTGCTAAGAAAAAAAATGTAAGAAAATAATATTTTTACATTAGAAACAGATGCTTTTAGTTTAGAAGCTAAATGCACTAAGAATTTAGCCTCATCATTAGCTTATTTAATATTTTCACACATATTAAATTCTGACAGTTTGTACAGATTGTGATTATGTGTTTTATGATCTCACATTATGCTTGAATCTCTTGAAAAGAATGATCTGTTCTTTGAGGGGTGAGGTCTTGGTTTTATTAATCTTGTAAAATAAGGCATAAACAGTTTAATAATTATTTGCTGAAACATTAATGAAGTGATTCTTCACATAGCAGAGCAAAAAGAATATACAAGTAAAGTTCTGAAAATATTTTTCTTTATTTTATTTGAAGGTTGTACTTTGGCATAGAGGATAAAGATAGTATGAACCAATGTGTGTATCTCTGTAAATCTCCTTATGCGTACATGTTAAAAATAAATACTCTCTATATTATCTTTAACCGTTCAGTTAAAAATATGAAGTGTTGCTTTTTTAGAATATGAGTCAAAAATCAATACAGTAGCATGATAGAGGTCGGTCTTCTCTTTGAGGTACGTGCAGTTCTTCCTGGGTTACCAACAAGATTCATTCCTTAGTTATAATTTATGATTTATTACATTTTGAATAAACTGTCTTGCTACAACTGTTAAACTCTTGGTGGTCTGACACTAGTCCCTGTGTATACTTTTGAGTATACTTATATATACCCTTTGCTCAAATGAAAATAATTGACCTTTCTTTAAAGTGTTTTCTAATTGAGTACAGGAATTCAGATTAGCTCTTTGCTTGTGCCTAGGAGTACTCAGTTCTAGGTATAAAAGAAAGCAGTATTTTGAAAGGCCCATAACTAGTATTACTGTCATTATATTTGGTTGTTTTTTTTTTTAAAAATGTCCAGTTCAGTAGTTTTAGCTTAATTGCAGAGTTGTGCCACTAGTACCACAAGTCTAATTTAAGAATTTCCCCCCTCCCCCACACTAAAAAGATATCTGAGCTCATTAGTAATTAGTTCATATCCATCTACTTTGAGTCCTAATGGTTTCAGGTTCTGACTCTAGATTTACCTTTCTGGACATTTTGCATGGGTGGACTTGCATCCATTTATCTGTTTATTATATAACTTGGATTTTTTAGCATCCATTTTGTTTAATTTAGGATTAACCTTAATGACTTTGAGGTTCATCCTTTGTTTTCCTTATGTCTTGAATTGTTGAGGCAGGGTGTTTTCCTGAAAAAACTATTTATGTATTTATTTTAAATTTCTCTTTGAGATCTTCTACCATCTTCAGTTATTGTGCTTTGAATTGTTACCATCCCACCACATTATGCATAGGCCATCAGGGTTCCTTAGGCTAAAGTAAGACTAAACAAGAACCCTGTGCACCTGTTCTGACTTACTTAAAATATGATTAAAGATCCACTTGAAAACAGATCATTCATGAAAATCAGGAACTGCTTACACTTTTCTGTCCTTAAATCATGTATTTAAAAATTAATGTAATTTTCGCACAGTGAACACCCAAATAGTTCCCTTGGCTTTGACTCTGTGCTAGAGCAATAGCTGTTCTTTTCCTCTACATTGAAAGGCCTATTTATCCTTTTAAACGTATTCAAAAGGTCAGCACATCTCATTTAAAAAATAAAAAATTAATGTAATTTAAAATAGTAGATCATACTATCCTCTCACTCAAAATATCCCATGCCAGTCTATCTCATCTCGCTGATACCTAAGTATGTCAATATTTATGCATTCCATTTCCTTCTTAACAGTATCTAGTTTTCCTATATTCATGGGTCTTAACATTTCATGTTCCAGTCACTAATGTCTTTGTACCGTTGTTCCTCCTCCTATTCCCGTACTTGAGGGCTTAGCCTCCCTCAGTTGCCATATCTGCTAGTCTTAAGTGTGCTTTGTTGTACAGAGGGTTTTCAAAGGCCTGATATTTCGTAAGTGGATGGCCAATCCTTCTTCCTAGTCTGTCTTAATGAGATTACTCAGATTTAGAACATTATCTGACAGACAAGCATTTTACAGAGAAGAGCAGATTAAAGCTATTTCCCAGTAATAGGAAAAAAACCAGTAGATTCTGTTTTGTTCCCAAACTTGCTAGCTTCATTGAGCTGGATAGTGACTAGGGATGATAGGAGGAGAGTTGATGCCTTTGAGCTTTGGTGCTGGAGAAGAGTATTGAATATACCATGGACTGCTAGGAGAACAAACAAGTTGGTCCTGGAGAGGGTAAAGCCAGACTGCTCCTTAAGAGGCAAGGATTCTGAAGCTTTGTCTGACATACTGGAGAGACCAGTCCTTGAAGAGGGATGTCATGCTTGGGAGGGTGGAGGGACGGGGCAGGAGAGGAAGACCCTCAATGAGACGGATTGATTCTGTCACTGGGGTAATGGGGATTAGGCATGTCGGAGACTGTGAGATTAGCAAGGGATAGAGCAGGGTTTAGGGCTGTTGTCTCCATGGCAAACAACAACAACAATAACAAAAACAATTTAAAATAGTTGAATTTGGTATATGACTGTGGTTTCTACATTGCTACATGTTTTTATTCTGTGTCATTGAGTCAGAATCAAGTCATAGCTCACCTCCAGTGGGTTGTCAGATAGTAAATTGCATGGAAGAATTTTCCCTATGGAGCAGCGGGTGAATTTGAACCATGGTACCTTTGGGGATGCAGTGCAGCTTTTTTTCTTAAAGATATTAAATATAAAAAAATCTAAGAATGTAATCAGTGTCATTGAATTGCACATGTAGAAACAAATGATTATATATTTTGTTGTGTATGTTCTAAACAGTATAAACAAAAGTTAGAAATCCAGTTACCAAAATTGCATTGCATTGCATTGCTTGTTAAAACCTTTCCGTTTTAGAATGATTAATATAATTAGAGTTAAAATAATTTTGATTTCTGTTGTTTATTGTTTAACCTTTTGGTAGTTATTTAATTTCTCTGTAGCTCAGCTTTACTTGTGTACAAAATCATAATTGTTTCTAATTCTTAGTTATGTGAGATCAAGAAAGTATTACATAAAGCCCATAACGTAGTATCTCATGCAATCAAGTCTCAATAAATAATGGCTATTTTTCTCAAAGTAAATTTGATATTTATTATTGAAGAGGTTATAGGAATATTTGATCTTTGAATCAGGAGATGTAATAAACTGATATATTACCCAGGTTTCTTTAAGAAGAAAAAAAGGGAAAAAAACCCACCCCAACAGTCAGGTTGTTTTGAAAAGTGTAATAGTTAAATGAAATATAATTATTTAATATTTTTTTAAATTTTGCCTTTGTTCACTACTTTAATCCCATAGAGACAGCTTATTATTTTATATTATTAGATGGGATTTATTTTTATATCTTGAAATTCTGCAAACTATAGAAGATGAATGCATTTATCTGTGGCTCACTGTTTTAACTGATTTTGAGAAGTAGGGTATTTACTAAACGCCAGATTGAATCAGATGAGTAAAATGGTATTCTAAAAGCTTACCAACTAGGGAGCTCTGGTGGCCTAGTGGCAGAAAGCTGTGCTGCAATCCCAAAGGCGCGTGGTTTGTATCCACCAGATACTCTGCTGGAGAAGGAGGGGTAGTCTCCTCCTGTGCCAGTCGGATATGACTTGACAGTACACAGCAAGAAGGGGGGGGAAGCTGATGAATAATATCCCTAAGTACTACTTCTTTTAGCCAGTTAGTAATCTGCTAATGAGAGTATTTAGATAGTACATAGTTTTTAGAGCATTTTTCAGTGAATGTATATGGTTTTCCTAATGCATAATTTATAATCACAGTTTTTTAATATGAAAGTAATTTTTATATTTTAGCAAGATTCTTAAAATCCCACTTGTAAGTAAACAAACCAAATGTAATATTACTGTGTAATACGTGGTAGATTTGAGCTGGCATATTGGTAATTTTCTTGAGTTTTTGTTATTGGAGAAAAATTAAATTTTTAAAGAAGTAGTTTATCTTATTTTAATATTTAGTGGATGGTTTCTCATAACAAAATTTTCTTCTGTATACATTGCTACATTTGATTCTTATTTTATGAAGGAGGTGAAAAGACCTCATTGTATTAATTTTTTTTGTTGTTTTTTTTTTTTTATTGTATTAATTTTACAGATTATAAAATAGGCACAGAAAAGAACTTCAGTTTTCAGATTTAGTTCATGTGATGATAATCTTAATTTTTAAAAAAATTTTTATTATTTGTGTGTGTGTGTGTGTGTACCATCAAATCGAATCTGACTGGTACAGGAGGAGATTGCCCCTCCTTCTCCAGCAGCGCATCTGGTGGATTCAAACTGCACGCCTCTGGAATTGTAGTGCAGCTCTCTTACCACTAGGCCACCAGAGCTCCCTCACATGATAATTTTTTTAAAAATGTATAAAATTATTTGCTTAAAGTTGATGCTTATCTAAAATAGAAATATATTTACTAGCTCTCAAATTTTTCCCCTTCAGTATTATTGAGTATTTGAGTCTTGTGAGTCATAGTAAGAGGAAAATGAAGAATTGCTTTAGGCATTTACTCAACTTTAAATTGTGGCATAACTGTTACGGCAGTTTGTGATCTGTATTGGTATAGGCAGTAGTTAAATCTTAATTACACAGTGTAAAAGATAATGTAATGTGGAACTTGGTATCAGTTATGGGAAGACTGTATGTGAAAAATATCCAGTAATTTATATTTTTTCACATTTTTTGTTGTCTGCCCTCTGGTGGAGAAGTTACTGAAATTTAGAGACAGGGTGTTTGCAGTGTCTAGGAATATATTATAGTTAGTTATGCTAAGTATCTATAGTATGTGTGTGTGTATGTATATACACACACACACACATGTGCTCACACTTTCAGGTTCAGTTTGTATTTGTAATCTTAGTTTATACATTTTAGGGGCAGCAAATATGGGATTAAAAAGTCAAGAAGACTTAAGTTTTTAAGTTAGGCAAGTTTGGGAAGGAAATTGCTGTTCTTATATTTCTGTTTCTCAAATCACCCTTAATTATGTTTTTCTCAGAGTTTTACTGAATTATCACAAAGCTTAAAAAAGGAAAATGAAGAGTTTAAGAAGAGATACAACGATGTTACATCTAAAGCTCTCCAACTTGAAGAAGATATTGTTTCAGTGACACATAAAGCAATTGAAAAAGAAACAGAACTAGACAGGTATTTCTGATGGTCTTAAAAAAAAACTTCACTGCAATCCCAGAGGTAGGCGGTTCTAATCCACCAAATGCTCTTCTGGAAAAGGAGGGGCAATCTCCTCCTATACCAATCAGATCCTATTTGACAGTACACACAAAATAATAAAATAAAATATAAAAAATAATAATAAAGTAAAATTTAAAAACCAAAAATTCAGACACCTAAAAACCAACTTTTAAATGTTTTAACAAAATTTTATGTTTACATTATATCTTTATTCAGCCTAAAGGATAAACTTAGGAAGACACAACATGAAAAAGAGCAGCTTGAAAGTCAGTTGAAGACAGAAAAAGATGAAAAGGAACTTTATAAGGTAATTTTCTGCTTCTATTAGTTATTTACATAACAAATTATCCCCAAATTTTGTGACTGTTAGATAGAAATTTGGGAGTTGGGTGGGTGGTGCTATCTAAAGTTACTCATGTGGTTACTCATGTGGTTGGCAGGGACTGTAACCAACCAAAAACTTGGTTTGCTTTCAGGATGGCTCTTTCACTTGGCTTTTGGAAGGAGCCCCACTATTTCACCAAAGGCCTCTTCATAGGCTGTTTAAATGTCCTTGCACCATTGCAGCAAACTTTTCCTCTAGGGAGCGTGCAGGGAAAGCAACAAGCTTTCTTGTGACTTAGTCTCTTAAGTATAGTGCATAGGCAGTTCTACATTATTTTGTTATGAGCAAGTCAGTAAGTTCATTCCATATTCAAGGAAAAATAAATTAGGCTTCATTTCTTAAAGGGAGACATAGCAGTGTATTTGTTGGGTGTATTTTAATTTACATTGGTTTGCAGTCCTTAAAAGTTAATTGGCAAGGAATTTATTGACATTTAGGATATCTGGTCGGATAGTTTTTAGGGAATTGTGCTGGTAATGCAAAGGTGGTGTCTCTCTGGCAGTTCAGATCCACCAGTGGCTCAGCAGGAGAGTGGTGAGTAATGTCCTTCTGTGTGGTTTACATCCTCAGAAAACTTGTGGGTGAACTGTGGTTCAGTTCTGATTTGATGGTAGTGGGAGAATAAACAATAGAGTAAGTTAGGAAGTTCAGTGGTGAGAAGATAGGAATTTAAAAGTATTTATATAAATTATTTTTCTTATATAAGAACGTTTGTACCATAGGGAGCCTGTGGACTTAATTCTGTGAAGATCAAGCTATATATATTTTTTAAAAATTGTGATTGAGTAAAGATTTGCAAAGCAGCAAAATTTTGTTGATTTGTTCATATATGTTGTATTCTATATATGATCAGAACTTTTTAAGTCTTGTTTTTAGGAATTAATGTTCAAGGACTATAATTTTAAAAACAGTATCCCCACAGCTAATAAATCTTAGCCTTGCAAAAGTTTGCTTACTCTTTTTTCCCCTCTTCTTCTTTTCCTTCCCCTATCCTATACCCCACACTCTGTTGGGTCACCCTTCTTTGGAATGGGAACAAATATAGATCTCTTCCAGTCAGTTGGCCAAGTGGTTGTTCTCTATATTTTTTGGCACAACTTGGTGAGCACATCCAGAGCAGCATCTGTTAGCTGAAGTAGGTCAATTGGTATACCATCTATTCCTGGGGCCTTATTTTTTGCTATTTCCTTCAAACCAGCTTGAACTTCTTCCTTCTTCACTAGAGACTCTAGCTCATATGTTGTTTTATAGAACAATCTCATTGATTTCACATACAAGCAAGATTCTACTGAAGATTATCCAAAAACGACTGGAACAGCACATCAGCAGAGAACTTCCAGAAGTCCAGGCTGGGTTTAGAAGGGGTTGTGGTACTAGGGATATTGTAGCTGATGTTAGATGGATCTTAGCTGAAAGTAGGGAATACGAGAAGAATGTCTATCTGTGTTTCATTGATTATGCAAAGGCGTTTGACTGTGTGGATCATAACAAACTGTGGCTGACTCTGAGAAAAATGGGAATCCCAGAACACTTGATCGTTCTAATGTGAAACCTCTACTTGGACCAAGAGGCAGTCATCAGAACAGAGCAAGGAAACACTGAATGGTTCAAAATTGGGAAAGGTGTATGCCAGGGATGTGTCCTATCTCCGTACCTTTCCAACCTGTATACAGAACAGATTATCCGAGAGGCTGGGCTCTATGAGAAGTGTGGCATCAGGACTGGTGGAAGATCGAGTAACAATATGCATTATGCAGATGACACAACCCTGCTTGCTGAAACTGAGGAGGACCTGAAATGCTTGCTGCAGAGGGTCAAGGACTGCAGCCTTCAGTATGGATTGAGGCTCAGTGTCAAGAAGAGAAAGATTCTCACCACTGGACCAATTGGCAGCATCAGGATGGATGATAAAGAGATTGTTACCAACTTTAGTCTGCTTGGCTCCACGGTCAACACTCTTGGCACCAGTAGCCAGGAAATAAAAAAATGTATTGTGAATGGAAAGTCTGCTGTTAGGGACCTCTCCAGGGTTCTGAAGAGTAATGGTGTCACTCTGGAGACTAAGGTGCATCTGATACAGGCCATGGCCTTTGCAATCACTTGTTATGCATCAGAGAGTTGGACAATGACTAGGAAGGATAGAAGGAGAATTGATGCCTTCGAGCTGTGGTTCTGGAGAAGAGTATTGAATGTACCATGGACTGCCAAGAAAACAGATTCATCCTGGAGAGGGTTAAACCAGGTTGCTCCTTGGAGACAAGGATTCTGGGGCTTCATCTGACATACTTTGGACATGTTGTAAGGAGGACAGGTCCTTTTGAGGGACATCATGTTTCGGAGGGTGGAGGGATGACGCAAGAGGGGAAGGCCCTCTGTGAGGTGGATTGATTCAATGACTGGGGTAATTGGGATGGATGTGTCAGAGGCAGTGGGATTGGCACAGGATAGAGCAGGGTTTAGGGCTGTTGTATATAGGTTTGCTGTGAGTTGCAAGCAACTTGACGGCACATAACAACAACATCCTATACCCCTACTTCCCATGTCCTCTCACCTCCTCATCTCTCCCAATTTAGGAACTAGGATGATTTGCATACTTTTTTATTATGTTATAAATTGAGGCATTTTCTTAAGTAACTTTAAGATATTCTTGAGGGAAGTTCCAAATTGGAAATTTCAAGAACATTTGGGGTTAGGTAGATTGTCTCAGGATCAGACTAGAAAAGAACAACATTAATTTCTAGACTGTGGTATTTGATTTTAAAAAGCCCCAGTAAAATATTATATGTTCATTACTTGAGAGTCATAATTTACATTAAGAAATTTGTGTATAGTCTATTATATTGGCAGTGGGTTGTTTTACTGTTAGTATTTTTTTGTGGTGGTTTATTAAGAATTTGGGTGTCCATGAATTATACCCATTTTGTTCCTTGGAGCAGTTGATTGCCAGAGCATCAGTAAAAAGAGCGAAAAGAGCAACGGGATGGCTGAGTCTGACTGTATTAGCTCCACAGAGGAGAAATGTCCACAACATCAACAACATCCACAGTATAAAACTAACTCCTATAAAGTCAGACATGGTCCTCCATGATCCAGCACCTACTTCTCTTAATTCAGGTGCCTATCTTACTACTCTTTTGGGTTTGAAATCCCTTAAAGTGACTACACAGACTTTATAAAACCATACTTACTGTCTAAAGTGGAGAAAATGGAACATTAGGGCACAGGGCTAAGAACATCTCTCTGAAAGGGCCACAGGGAGTAAGAATAGCATAGCCCCTTACTGCCCCAGAGCAGAAAGCAGATAGAGTCCATAGTCCAGCCCTATAGTGCCTTTAGAGCCCTACCAACAGCAAGAGGTTCTTTTATTTGTTGCTGACTCACAGATGCACAATTATGGTACCAGCAGTAGGGATTATTAGTCCAGTAGGGATTATCAAGTCCAGGCTCTGGTTTCAGTTCAGCAGTGAAATCCAAATCATCCAGCAAGGTTTCCCCATTGCAGTTTTTAATCAGATTTTCCTTCAACCATCCAGCAAGAACAACCAAACCCTTAACTTTGGTCAGCACAAATGCAAGAAGCCCCAGATCACAGATTTTCCACAGCAATGCCACAGTATCTACCACCAGGGTTTTACTCTCACCAAGGTTTTGCGGCCACAAGCCTTGCTTGCCTCAAGTCTTGCTACTCAGTGTGAGAAGCACTCTTTCATGTATCCTAGTTTCACAGCTGTTGGTGATTTTCAAGACTATGCTGATTTGCAAGTCCATGTGTCTGTAGTTAAGGTAGCTGAGGACCAGAGATGGCTAACTTTAAAAAAAAAAAGAAAAGCCTACTTTAAGGCCAACACTATACTCACTGTTCCAGGGTTTTTTAGAGAAGTTAGGAGGTTTCTTAGAGAAGGCTGTACTTGAAGTTAGCAGCAGGATACAATAATACAGACACCTTCTCAAGCAGGTCCTTTGATCTTCAGTCTCATTGCATAGGTCAGTGTCACAAAGTTCCCTTAGTCCTGCCAGTTAGGACAACTTCCCTCAGCTCTCTAGCAAACTTGAGTGAAAGCCTCTGACTGTGGCTTCATGGTACCATAATTCCAAGTCAGCTTTGTCTCATGTTGGCCTCTGATTCTCTGTTGAGGCTGCTGTTTTTTTTTGTTTTTGTTTTTTGTTTTTTTTTTTCTATATCCTGGTCAGGCTGCCTCAGGAATTTCTGGCCCTGACGAGAATGCATGCTGCTGCTTCTTCCTTGTTAGTGTTGAGATGCCCAAGTTCTGCTGCTGAATATGCTAAATTTAATGGCGAGACTAGGCAGGCAGTCTCCTTGTGGATAGACCAACACATCCTGTTTGCATATTCTCATCTAACTGTGTGGCAAAGTCGCTAAGTGTGGCTAAGAAAGCCATTTTGAATAATAAACCCTTGACAGCATCTTTTTATTTTAAAAAGTTACTTGAAGTTATTTGACTCTTTAGGAAAATGTGCTCATTAATGTTGTTTGGTGTTTATCAAGATTTTATGAATAAGAAAAATAGTAAATTTTTATTAGAGGAAGAATTGATGCAATTGGATCACTGAAGAATTATCTTAAGTTCTATTTTTTCTGATCGTTTGGGAAATAATAATAAGATAAATAGAATATCTATGTTTTAAACCATTTTAATTCAAAGGTAAACCAGATTAATAATTGAGATACATTACTTAGGGAGCTCTGTTGGCCTGGTAAGGAGTGACACTGCTAACCCAAAGGCACACAGGTTGAATCTGCCTGCTACTCAGTGGGAGAAGAAAGACCTGTATGATTAACTGCCTCTGAAAATCTCCTACAGAGTCAGCATTGAATTAGTTCTAACTTAATGGTACACGACAACAACATTAAGTAATGGACTTAAGAAGGTCCTGATTACTAAATCAGTGATAGTATAGAGATATGCAAATGATAACGAAGATGACTTCATTTGGGAACAGGAAAGCTGTCTCTTCTCACTTTTTGCTGGAGTTTTACAGAAGGTTGGCTAGCACATTTTAGGGAAATCTAGTATTTTTCTTTACTGTTTTAATTTAATTATCCCTTCTAGTATCCTTTTCTTTATTCTTCTTACTTTCTATTGAGATTTTTTTCTGTGATACATACCTTAGTGATAATGGGATATAGCAAAGACTTGGCATGGGAAGATGGATAACAAAAAAATTGAATGTTATTCTTTATGTTGTTCCTTGTCATTGATTTAGAACTGACTCATAGCTGTTCCTCCAGTGGGTTTTTGGAGTCAGTAAATCACACAGGAAGACAGTGGAGCCGCTGATAGATTCAAACCATCTATCTTTGGTTGACAGTGAAATGCCTTATTCACTAGGCCACCAGAGCTCTCTTACTCTTTTAGAGTGTGTTAGTATTTCTAGTATTTCATTATAGACATTAGTAGTGGAGATCAGAGTAACATTGAGTTTTCCAAATATATATGCTACATCCACCCCTACCCTGGTGTTTTCAACATTTCATTTATTTATATGTTAGTGATACAGTTTTTAAAGTGCTGAGCTCATTGGTTTGAACTCACAGAAGAAAGACTTGATAGTTTGCTTCTGTAAAGACTTAGAGCTTTAGAAACCCTATATATAGATTAGTTCTACTTTGTTGTGTTGGGTTGCTGTGAGTTGGAACTGATCCTGTGGCACTGGGTTTGGATTCTATATACCTGAAAATAAAAACTGAAACACTTCCTTCGAGGTTTTTGCTTTATTTATTTATTAGCAGAGAAATTTCATTCGGTGTGATAAGAATCATCTACTATTTCATTTCCATTACATATTGTGGACATCTTTTAGTAGATTATAAGATTTTAGAGAAATTGATAAAATGCTTTTATGAGCTCATGCTTATGAAAATCACATGTTTTAAAACTGATGATGCAAAGGTGCAGAAACTTCAGAGAATTAGGAATTGTGTTATTCTTAGCAAGGAATTTAGCTTTTCATACATATTTAAACAATAATAGGAGATAAGTGAATTCACTTTTCTGATATCGTCTTAACCAAAAATGCTATTTTGGTGTAGTTCTATTCTTACGTGGTGAAACCTATGAGAAGCACTTTTCTTTTTCTGGGTCGTGCAAGTTTCTGTCTTTGACAGGGTGCAGTCTTAGAACTTTTTTTAGTCACTCAATCTAGTAGAAAATACTTACATATTTTCTTTCTCATGACAAGTTTCAAACTTAAATAGATTCTGAGTTTCTTAGGTTTTGCTATTAATTCAGCTTAGGATTTTAAAATAATAGCCAATTGTATTTGGTTTACTCGAGAATCATTTTGGCATTTAGATTTAAGTAATAATATCTTTCACAGTTGAAAACCGAATTGTCAAAAACAGTGTTCTGTACCTTCTAGTTTTCAGAGTCTCCTCATGCTGTCATGTCTGAAAGTGTTCCTTTGTCTCTTTGTAACATAAAATGTCCCCAAAAGGCTATCCAAATTAATTTTCATTTTTGGAGTAACTACTTAAAATATTTTGGAGGTAAGATAGTATTGTAGAATTTAGAATTAATTTCTGGGGAAGAAAAAGTTAGCTTTTGTCCTCACATACATGCCTGATAATTAGTCAGAACTTGGGTCCCCTGACTCCCTATTTGAATGTGTTTTCCCTTCAGTTGGTAGGTTTTAGTTAGAAATTAATGGTCGAATTTTGACTAATTAGGATATGGAGTTAGAAAAGAATGTTTGTTACATTTTCTAATACTATTTCAGGTACATTTGAAGAACACAGAAATAGAAAATACCAAGCTTGTATCAGAAGTCCAGACTTTAAAGAATTTAGATGGTAACAAAGAAAACATGATTGCTCATTTCAAAGAAGAGATTGGTAGACTGCAATTCTGTTTGGCTGAAAAGGAGAATCTTCAAAGGACTTTTTTGCTTACCACCTCAAATAAGGTAACTGCTTTTGTAATGTGTATTTTAGAGTGATATAGTGTATTTAGAAGATTACAGAGTGTGTCTTTATTGAATTTGTGAAATGAGATTATTTTAAATACCACCCCCAGCTTTTTAAAAAAAAAAATTTCAAACTTACAGAAAGGTTAGAAGAATCAAATGAGTATTCTTATACCTTCAGATGTTTTGCTATCTTGCTTTTTTATCCCTTGTTTATGTTAAAGCAAACTCCCCCAAATCCCACAGATTTTTAGTTGAGCTGTTTGAAATTTTATTTTAGTCCTTATGACCAACCCACTGTTAACTGAGCCTATTCCCATTTGTAACAACACCAGTATGTAGTGGAACAACTCTGAAAGTTTTCTGAAGCTATAAATCTGTATATAGGGGCAGACTATTGAATATTTCTGTTGTGGAACACCTGGTGAATTGCAGATCTGGTTACCAGTCTCTAAAACCCTTTGTCATCATGATCTTTCATTGACATTGAGTTGGAACTGCCTTACAGCTGACTCTCCAGCAGGTTTTCAGAGGCTGTTGTTCATCTTCTGATGAGCAGCTGGTGGATTTGAATTTCTTACTTTTAGTTTCGTAGCACATTTGTTTACCCATTAGGCTCTATGATTATATATATCTCATGCAAAATACTTTTAGTATGTATCTTCTGTGGACAGTATATTCTAGTAAAATGTGATTGTCACATCTATTTATTCATTCTTACTGGTAATTGATACTCTGTCCAAAATACAGTTATAAAATCTTTTTTTTTGTACCTTTTTAAAAAAATTCTTAATTTCAGTGAAAATTTACAGAGACTTTGGATTTCCATTTGTCTTTGCACTTTTCTCCTCTCCCAAACCTCTCCCCTAGTACACTATCCTCTTGGAAAAGTAAAAGAAAAATTCTTTCATTGATATACAGTCCTTCCAGGTCCACTCCCCTATGCAGCCTTGGACTTTCACTCTGGACTCCTGTCATGACAAAAATACCTAATCACGTATCCCTTTGAAATAGTTTTCTCCCTCATCTGTTTCAGTGCAGTATACATTATTGAACCCATCTTTCTCAGTTTCCCCCCAACCCCGATTTCAGTCCTGTTTTACAACAGTGGCAGCATGCAGTATTTGTCCTTTTGTGGCTGAGGTACTTCACTCAGCGTAATGTCCTCCAGGGTCACCCATTTTGGATAATATTGCATGAGTTCCTTGTTTTCAATGCAGCGTAGTATTCCATTGTGTGAACATAACACAGCTCCTCTATCCATTCGTTTGTTGATGGGCACTTAGGTTGTTTCCAATTTCTTGCTGTTATGAACAAAGCCGTGATAAACATGGGTGTGCATATATCTGCTTGGATAGCGTTTGTGGTCTCTTTAGGGTATATTCCCAGTAGTGGAATTGCTGGGTCAAATGCTATCTCTGTTTGCAACTTTTTGAGAAAGAGCCATACTGCCTTCCACAGTGGTTGCACCATTATACGCTCCCTCCAACAGTGAATAAGGGTTCCAGGTTCCCCACAACCTCGCCAGCATTTGTTGCTTGCTGTTCTTTTAAATTTTGCTGTTCTGACTTTGGTGAGATGATGTTATAAAATCTTTTTAAACTTTTGGTTCATTGGTAATTAAAGGTGATATATTTGTTGGTTGCTGTTCTCTTTTATTTAGTCTGTTCTGTTTTGGAATAGTGTCATTAGGTCTGTTTCTCCCCTATCTCTTTCATGGTACTGATATTTTTTAACAATTTAACTAGCTTTATGAATGAATATTTTACAGTCTGAATGTGCCTGTTTAATCATGATTAAGTTCAGGTTTGGCAGTAGAAATATAGGCAAACGAAAAATATTTTCTGTAGTAAAACATACCAAGACATTTGCTGCTTTAACCATTTTTTGGTGTACAATATGTTTTTCATCATCTCTAACAAAAACTCAGAACCCAGTAAGCAGTAACTTCTCTAACCCTTGGTAACCACTAATAAGCTTTGTCCTTACTTGTTTGCCTGTTCTAAATGTTTTATATCATTGGGATCATACAGTAGTTGCCCTTTTGTGATGGTTTCAGATTTCATTCTTATAGCATTTTTATTCATGTTGTAGCATGTATTCAGGATTGAACTTGTTAGGGCTGTTTAATTTCCATTGCATGCACACCACAGTTTGTGTATTAATTTCTCTGTTCTGAGGCACTTCAGTTACTTTCTACATTTTGGCTATTAAGAATAACACTGCCGTGTATATACAGTGTACAGGTATCGGAATCCCTGAGTTCAAGTCTCTGTATGGCTTCAGTGGAATTACTGGGCCATATAGTGATACTATGTTTGGCTTTGGAAAGAACTGTAATTCCATAGTGGCTTGAATGTTGCATTTTCTCCTTACGTTTTTAACACTCATTTTCCTTTTTTGTTTTGAAGGAGTTGACTTTTTGTCATCCTATTATAAGCATGAATGTCGTATCTTAATTGTAGTTGTGATCTGTATCTTTTTAAAGACATTTAACGTCTTTTCCGGTACTTATTAGCCATTATATCTTCATTGGAGAAATGTCTATTCAAAACCCTTGCATATCTTGAATTGTTTACTTCTGTTGTAGAAATTCTTTTTATAGAAATTCTCTATGTATTTGAGATACTTTAAGATATTAATAGACAAATGATTGCCTCTTCACTTTCTTTAAGAGATGTTTTGTCTATCCCATTGCAGACATATGAAAAGTCACATTATGTCACTTTGTCCAATTCTTCATAATTTTAATTTTGGCTACTAGTGTCTACTAGTTTCTTCTCGATCATTCAGTTTGTTTACATATATTAGAATTATTCTATAGTGAGGGTTCTTTGTTGGTTTCTACCCTCTCCTTTTTAATATGTAACTGTGGAATACAGATTAATTCTTTTTTTGTTTATCATTTATTATCATCATTATTCTCGATACCCCAATTGCCCCAAATCCAGCTAGGAAAACACTTGCAGGCCACGCTCTGTGTCATCTTGATGTGTTCTCATTATGCTTGGAGTACTTTTTTCTTTTTGGCAAAGTGTTCCAAGGATCAAAATCTGCCCAGGATTAGTAATTTCCCTAAGGATCAGTAGGCTTCATAGTGCGGCTATTTTGAAACCAAGAACTGGTTCTTAGGGCTACTTGCTTCTCTGTAATTTCAGTGGACTTCTTAAAAAAAACAAAACAAAACAAAACTTTAACTGATGTTGCTATCTCCAGTTTAAATCTGGTACCTTAGAGGTCTTGCCTTCTTTCATTTAATAATTGCATACTGTTTCACCCACTGTTTCTCATTATCTCTAAAGCGTTCGTACTTGCCCTATGCATCAGTACTTTGAGCAATTAATCTAAGTAATTACAGGTGACTGAATTAAAAACCTATTTCCATCAAGTCAGTTCTATCTCATAGCCACCATTCAGGATAAAGTAAAAATGCCCGCAAGGACTGTTACCTTTATGGAAGCAGATGGCCAGGTCTTTCTACACTGGAGCTGCTGGGTAGGTGTAATTCTCCAACCTTTCAGTTAATAGCTGAGTGGATACTAGTTGTGTTTCCCATCAGTGTCTTTCTTTTCCCTTTTTTTAAAAAAATTAAGTATTTTTTCATTTTATTTTTTTTAGAATTTTTAAATTATTATTAGTGTGTGTGTGTGTGTGTACGTACCATCAAATCCAATCTACTGGTACAGGAGGAGATTGCCCCTTTGATCTGCGTTCCTCTGGAATTGTAGTGCAGCTTCTTGCCACTAGGCCACCAGAGCTCCCTAGTGTCTTATCTTTTCTATTAGCATATCAGTATTTTCAGTAATATGGAAACGTAGTATAATAATGCATGCAAACTGTTTTAGGTCATACTTTTAGATAAAGTAAGAAACATTTTTCAACCAAAATATTTAGTATTACAAAGACATTTTGAAATTATTTTCAATGCTAAGCTGAAAAGTGAAGATCATGTCACCTGACTTCCTGTCTGTCCCTTTCCTCATGTAGGAAGTGGTTAGGAACCCTATACATTGGATTGTTACATGGAGAATCTAAAGATCTGAATGAATAAATGAGAAGACAATTTCTTTGTAAGCTTTTAGTAAAATCAATAATAAAGAAATGGAAAACTAAAATATATTCTTAAACTTCATGAATTGTTGTTCCTATGTGCCATTGAGTCGCCTCCAACTCATAGTGACCCTATGTAAAACAGCCCTGACTAAACCCTGTCCTATCCTGTGCCAGTCTTGTTGTCTCTGACACACCTACTCCCATTACCCCAGTCACTGAACCAGTCCATCTCATCGAGGATCTTCCTCTCCTGTGCTGGCCCTCCATCCCTTTAAGTATGAAGTCCCTCTCCAAGGACTGATCCTGCTTTGAAAACCCTATGTACTATAGTCATGAATGGAAAGTCAGTATTCTATAACTTAAATAGGCTTTTATTTTACAAATATATTTATCTACTTTCCCTCAGGAAGATACCTTTCTTTTAAAGGAGCAACTTCGGAAAGCAGAGGAAGAGGTTCAGGCAACTCGGCAAGAAGTTGCCTTTATGGCTAAAGAACTAAGTGATGCTGTAAACGTACGAGACAAGATGATGGCAGATCTACACACTACGCGCCTGGAAAATGAGAAAGTTAAAAAACAGTTAGCAGATGCAGTGGCAGAACTTAAACTGAGTGTTTTGAAAAAGGATCAGGTAAAGCAGGTTAATTTTGAACTTCTGTCTTGGTAACAGAAATTCAAACACTGAATTTAAGAGGATAAATTAGGTGTAATAATTTAGAGAATTAGTAAATATCTAAATTAATAAATAAAATTAAAAATTAATTAAATTATTAGTTAACTAATTAATATTTTTATTAGGTGTAATAATTTAGGTACTATTCCTAAGCACATAATTTATGGTTCCATTTATGTGACAAATGTATTGCTGTTTTTAACAATCTCTTTCTTCCTTGCTACTAAAACAAAACCAAAAATCAAAAGAGTTAATTGTGACTCATGACATCCTCTTTGGGACGAGTAGAACTGCCCCTTATGTCTTACACTGTAACTCTTACAGAAGTGGCCTGCCTCATGCTGCTGCCACAGAGTGGTTGGTGCATTCACCTTCTGACCTCTTGGATATTAGTCCACTGCTTACCCACACTGTACCAGAGGACTCCCTTACTAGCTTACAGTATTGTTAGTTGTTGAAGAGAATAATATTTTCTGCCTAGCAAATAGATTGCTTTTCTTTGAACAATTTAATCCTGAGAACATAAAGTTTTCTTAGGAGTGTTAAAATGGCATTAAAGTGGCACGGTAGTCAAAACTCCAGTGTAAATAAAAGTTAAAAATCAGAAAGAAAGAAAAGGCAAAAATGAAGCTCAGATTTACTCCCATACTAAGGGAACAAATTTTTACATTTTTCATATGGAAAGTGTTTCATTTTCTTTCAGGAAAATGCACTGGAACATGAGCTGAGAAGAGAAGTTGAAGATCTGAAACTCCGTCTTCAGATGGCAGCAGATCATTATAAAGAAAAATTTAAAGAATGTCAGAGGCTCCAAAAACAAGTAAATAAACTCTCAGACCAGTCAGTAAGTATTACTTCATGTATACATAGTAAAATACTTTCTTTATAAATATTTTGGTTCATAAACTTCTAATACTGTAAATATCAGGCTTGGATATAAATTATCTCTATTTTAAATATTTGGTTTGATTGTGTGGATCATGATAAGTTATGGCTGACATTGAGAAGAATCGGGAGTCCCAGAGCACTTGATTGTGCTCATGAGGAGCCTATACCTAGACCAGGAAGCTGTTGTGCGAATGGAACAGGGGAGCACTGTACAGTTTGAAATTGGGAAGGGAGTGCATCAGGGATGTATTCTGTCTCCATACCTGTTCAGTATAAATGCTGAGAAAATTATCCAAAAAAACTGGACTCTATCAAGAGGAGTGCAGCATCAGGATTGGAGGGAGACTCATTGATAACCTATGTAATGCAGATGACATAACCTCGCTTGCTGAAAGTGAGGAGGATTTGAAGCACTTGTTGCAGAAGATCAAGGAATGTAGCTTTCAGTATGGATTGTTTCTCCATGTCAAGAAAACAAAGATTCTTACCACTGGACCAATAGGTAGTGTCACGATGAATGGAGAGGAGATTGAAATTGTCAATAGCTTCATCTTGCTTGGATCCACAATTAACAACCTTGGTACAAGCAGTAAGGAAATAAGGAGACCCATTGCACTGGGAAAATCTGCACTTAGGAACCTTCCAAATTATTGAGGAGTAGTGATGTCAGTTTAAGGACTAAGGTGCGTCTTATTCAGGCCATGGTCTTTTCAGATTCTTAGCTATGCATCTGAGGTGGACAGTGAATAAGGATGACAGAAGGAGCATTGATGCCTTTGAGCTATTGTGTTGGAGAAGAGCACTGAATCATGGATGGCCAAGAAAACGAATAGATATGTCCTGGAGAGGGTGCAGTTAGAGTGCTCTTTGGAGGCAAGAATGATGAGGCTTCGCCTCACATATTTTGGACATATTGCTAGGAAGTGCTATTCTTGGAGAGAGGGACTTGATCTTGGGAAGGAGGAGGGTTGGTGAAGGAGAGGAAGGCCTTCAATCAGATAGATTGACAAGGTGACGTCTGCAATGGGTTCTTGTGTGTCAGGAAGTGTGAGGATGGAGCGGGACGGGACTAGATTCAGATCTTTTGTTCATAGGGTTGCTATGAGTCGTACTTGACTCAATGGCACCTAACAAGAATAAACAACAACTGTAATTGTTAAACAAGATCTGTAACTCTTTGTGTAAATATCTTTGTCACTTAAAAACTCGATATTTATTTTTGAATCTCTCCTGTGACAGTGAAGTCTATCTTTAGTAAGGTTCACCATTCGTCATCTTCAGTATCCCCCTTAAGTTTTATATATGATTTCTCGGTTGTTATTAGTTATCCCCCTTAAGTCTTATATATGATTTCTCAGTTGTTATTAGTTAACTCATCTATTCTGTTCATAGCCACTAGAATGTGAAGAGAGAGAATGTTTGCTCATTACTTTGTATTGTTTCATAATGGGTAGATACATTTTTAATATAACTAAAGAAAATATTGTATTGATATGTGTGTTTTAGTGTGGGCTTTTAATTTGTAGTATTAAATACAAATTTTGCTGTGTGATAGAGTCCTGGAAGTAGAGAAGACACATTAAAAAAGTGAATTTGAAGATTATACCACCTTCTTTGCAAATAAATTTTGCCCTTATACAATATTAAGTTATAAATCGTGTTTTCTTGGTCTTTTTTAAAATCTGAAAATCTAGGAAAGAAGCAAGAAATACATGTAGTAAACTAGGAAGCAATTTATAAGAAAACACTTAAATTTGACTCGCAAATAAAATTTGAGTATTTTAATAACATTGTATACCAGAAGACTTGTGAAGAGAGCAATAAGATTTCTGTGAATGGTACCATTTTTTTTTATCATTTGACGTTTATCATTTGACATGTAAAAGAAAAAAAAACCACCTCATTTTTAATGACTAGTTGTTGTTGTTGTTGTTGATTCCCATCGAGACAAGCACAACTCATAGCATCTCTACGAACAGAAGACCTGAAGCCTTTCTATAACTATTGTGATTTCTCAAAGTTCATACAGTTTCCAGAGGCATGTTGTTTAGGAAGTGGGTGCCTCTCTTGCTGATAATGTATCATTTTAGGTTGTGTTAGATTTTTTTGGACAGAAGTAGCTTTATGGAATCTTTGGGATTTTTTTTTTTAACAAATACTTATTTAAACTGAAGAAAATAAGTCGTTTTGTGACTCATTGAACAGGTTTTTTTGTTAACATTTTGAATAGGCCAATAATAATAGTACCATCACAAAGAAAACTGGGAGTCAGCAAAGAGTGAATGATGCCTCAATAAGCACAGACCCTGCTATTGCCACTTCTGCCATAGAGGTCAAGCCACCATCTTATGCAGGTAAAATCTTTGAGACCTTTTGTGTGGGATGTATTTTCATTTCTGTTACCTTGTTCTAGAAAGCTTACAGAAATCCTTATATAACAAATGAAGTAATTGATGGAAAAGGAAAATTAAGGCAGAAGAAGCAAGATAAAAACATGTTGGTGGTTAATACACAAAATATGAGTATAAAATTCTATTATCTTTATGAAAATATGTACAAATGTTAAATTAGCTGTTGGTTTTAAGTACTCATTTGGGTTAGATAGAAAATGTTAAGAGTTGGCTTTATTTATATATAACATTACATTAATAGAATTTTAAAGGATTTGGATTGTTCAATTTTGTGAGAAGAAAGCCTTGTAAGTCCTATTTGTTTCCATGTTTTTCTTCCTTTTTCTTTTCTATTTTGGTAATAGAATTCCTTCGTAGTTAATATATATTAGAGGATAACTAAATTTTGATTGCCAATGTATTGTTTATTATACAACTAATTATAAATGAATGATAACAAAACCAGAATTAACTTTAAAATAATTTTTTTAAAAACCTTTATATAATTAGAGGTGTGACAGTGATGAAATGAAATATTGTAAAATAGAGAACAAAAATTTATATTTTCATTTATTTCCTTCATAGTAATTCTCTTCACTGTGCTGTGCTGTTACCCATTTTGAAAAGTTTTTAACAATCTTATTTTCTGCCGCCTTATAGTGGAGAATGATTTTGACATCATAACAAAAGGGCAAGTCTGTGAAATGACAAAAGAAATTGCTGACAAGATAGAAAAGTATAAAAAATGTAAACAACTGTTACAGGTAAGTGAATTACTTTATAGGTCAAAGAGAAACCAAAACATAAACCTGCTTTTATCAAATACACTCAGGCTCAGTGATTTTCCATCTGGCTGCTGAGGTGGTCAGTCTTTAAAGGAAGAGACATCTCTCTCCATTGAGGCAGTTGGTTGATTTGAACTGATGGTTTCAGTCAGCATCAAAGCATGTAGCACCCTGTGCCGTCAGATATATTTGGTATCATAGCTTGTATTAGCTTATTTGATTTGATTGGTGTCCTCTAGTGTCTTTTTCATCCCCTTATTTAATAAATTCTCAATTCAGTTTTGTTGCTTTTTAAGTGATGGGGCAAGTATACCTGTCCATACAAAGCCTGAGTTAATTATTCTTCTTGAGTTATTTCTGTTCACTTAATAATCTTTCTTCCTATTAAGGAAGTGGTTAATTAAGATTGGCCGCTATTTTCTATCATATACTATAAAGATAAATGAAAAGTATTTCAGCTTCCTAAAAGCACTCTTCAACATTCAACTCACTGTCTTTGAGTTGAAACAGACTTAACTGTTGGGTTGTTGAGGCTGTAAAGTGCACAGGAGCACATTGCCCATGTTTCTCCCAGAAATCTATTCAAACTGCCAGAGGTGCCCAGCTTTTGGGTTAGCAGCACAGTTTTGCCACATCCTAAAGTGGTCAGATTTGCAAAATAGAAATAGTGATGATCAAATGAATTATAACCTTCAATAGTTTTATTTTGATAGTTTTAAACAGTTGTATTTTGATAGTTTCAGACAGTATCATTGACTTGTTAGTTTTGCAGTCTTTTTAGTATCGTTTGTTCCTAGAGTATTTAAAGGCTAAAGAGAAAATACTTCTTATTTACACCTGATTGGAGATAGGGAGGAAAAGATGGGTTTTTTTTTAAAAGCTGCAGAACAAAGTTTATTCATCAGCTCAGTGTTTCTGTAATAATTACATACATACAATGTAATACGTGTACATCTTGAGAAGGATTCCTTAGAACTGTTTCAACCTGAGGAACAATACTACTTTATTAGGGATGAATTAGTTCTTGATGAGTATTTAAAAATCTCAGTCTGCTATAACTTGAAAATAAAATGTTCTCCAAGCTTCCTCAAGGAGTATTTTATTTTTAAAACTATTAAAGTACAATTGAAATTCCTTAACCTGCACATATTTAAAGTGTACGATTTGCTCAGTTTTGATAAATGTATACAACTTTGAAACTGTCACCCTGATTCCAGGGTGATGGATGTTTTTCGTCACCACATGTAGTTCATTTTTCCTCCGACCCTCTCACCAGATAATTGTTGACCTGATTTTGTCACCTAATAGAATTTTGTATAAGTAGGACCATACAATACAATTAATCTTTTTTTTTTGTGGTGGAAAGGAGTTTATTTCTAGTTAAATTACTGTGAATTTTATCCACATTGTTGTTTACCTTAGTAGTTCATTTGTTTTTATTACTGTAATAGTAATCATTGTGTGGATCTAGCGATTCACCAGTTGAGGGATATTTGAGTTGTTCACTCGTTCATTCTTACAAATCAACCTGCTATGCACATTTATTTATAATTATGTTTTAATATAATTTTATTTCTCTTGGGTAAATATCTAGGCATGAAGTGACCAAATAATATAACTAATATTTAACTTTATAGGAAACTACTAAGCTAAAAAAAAAAACCACCACCAAAAACCAAAACTACTAAACTGTCTCTCTAGCAAGGGACTATTTTTCTTTTTCATTTTAGACAATATAATGAATGTGTAGTGATAATCTCATTGTGGTTTAAGTTGCATGTCCTGATGAACACTGATGCCGAGGTGTTGTTTTAATATCCTTACTGTACATGCATGCTAGTATTTATGTGTGTGAAATGTTGATTCAGTTCTTTTTTGCCTCTCTTAAAATTTGGATTATTTATTGACTACTTACTGAGTTGTACAAGTCCTTTATTCTGCATAAAATTCTTTTGATCAACGCGTAGTGATTCCCCCATTATATTGCCTGCTTTTTCATTTTGTTGGTATTGTTTTTGAGGGTGTATGTTTTTTAACCCAGAATTGCAGTTTGTAAATTTGTTCTTTGATGTTTTGTATGCTTTACATTCTAAGCACCCACTGGTCACAGTTGCGAAGATGCTCTTGTGTTCTCTTCTAGACTTTTTGTTGTATTACGTTTTACCTTTAGACACATGCTGCACCATTTTGAGTGCTTTCCCTCTCCCCCTTGTGAACCATCAAGTCAGATCCAGCTGGCAGAGGCGATTGCCTCTCCTTCTCCAACAGACCATCTAGTGGATTTGAATTGCCTTTGGGATTGCAGCATAGTTTCTTGCCACTAGGCCACCAGAGCTCCCTTTTGAATACATTTTTATTAATTTAATGAAAGGTTAAAGAAACTTAGGATTTCCATTCATGTATTGTTGCACTTTTCTTCCTGCCTACCCCTTCCCTCCAGTTTGCTCTTCTCATTGAAAAGTAAAATTCTTTGATTGCTATGCAGTTCCTCCCCCAAGCCCACTCCACTATGCAGCCTTAGTTCTGAACTCCTGTCATGACAATAATATCTAATCATATATCCTGTTTAAACACTTTCCCCCCTCAGCAGTTTCAGTGTAGTATACATAATTTATCCAGTCTTTCTTAGTCTCACCCCAGCACTGATGTCAGTCCTGCTCTACAACAGTGGCACTATGCAGTATTTATCCTTTTGTGACTGAAGTATTTCACTCAGCATAATGTCTTTCAGGGTCACCCATTTTGAATAATATTGCATGAGTTTCTTTTCTTTCAACGCAGTGTAGTATTTCATTGTGTGACTATACCACAGCTTCTCTATCCATTCATTTGTTGATGGGCACTTAGGTTGTTTCCAACTCTTGTGAATAAAGCTGCTATAAACATGGGTGTGCATATATCTGCTTGGGTGGCGGTTATGGTTTGTTTAGGGTATATTCCCAGTAGTGGATCTGCTGGGTCAAATGGTATCTCTATTTGCAACTTTTTGAGAAAGTGCCATACAGCCTTCCATAGTGGTTGCACCATTTTATACTCCCAACAACAGTGAATAAGGGTTCCAGTTTTTCTGCAGTCTCGCCAGCATTTGATGTTTGCTGTTCTTTTAAATTTTGCTATCTTTACTGGGGTGAGATGATATCTCATATTTGTTCTGATGTGCATCTCTCTTAGAGCTAGGGATTTTTGAACATTTCTTCATGTGTTTGTTGGCTATCTGAATGTCTTCTTCGGTTAAGTGTCTGTTCATACCCTGTGCCCATTTTTCAACTGGGTTGTTTACCTTTATCTTGTGGTGTTGAGTACATTTTTGCGTGTTTTAAGGTGTGGTTGCTGTATGTGGTATATTTAGTTGTTAGAGCATTGTTGAAAAACATTGTCTTTTGAGTTCCTTGCAACACATTTCTAAATTTTCACCTCGCACAAAAACACTTAGGTTGGAATTAGCCATATTTTTCTTATTTTTATCATTTTTCATCATGATTTATTTTTGTATTAGGATTTATATAATATGATTTTTGTAACATATTTCGTATAACTTCAGTGTTGTAATGAAGAATCGTATATAAAGTCAAATAAGAGGTTATCTTGGCTAGGTATCCCAGAGTCATTAACTCCTCCTGGGAATAGCACCATATAAATAGATCATTTTTATTTCTTCTGTTTATGTAAGTTAACCTGTATTCATCATAGACTATTACAGCATTATAGAGGGAGCTCTGGTGCCCTGCTGGTAAGAAGCTGCACTGCAGTCCTGAAGCCAGGCAGTTTAAATCCACCAGCTGCTTCATAGGTGGAGGATGGGTAATATCCTCTCCTGTGATTAACTGCTTCAGAAAACCTGGCAGAAAGTCAGCTATAGGTCGGTTCCGACTCGATGATACACAGCAACAAATGGTATTATAGAAATAAAGAGTAGAGATGGTGAAACTTCTGTACAGTTCTTATATAGATAGTAAATGTCTGAAACTGTTTAACTGAAAAAATGGGCTTCTAAGGAGCTCTGATGGCCTAGTGGCAAGAAGCTGCAGTCCAGAGGTTTGCTCATTTCAATCCACCAGATACTCTGCCGGAGAAGGAGGGGCAATTTCCTCCTGTACCAGTCAGATCTGATTTGATGGTACACACACACAAAAATAATAAAATTTTAAAAATTTAATTTTTTTAAAATGGGCTTTTATATATTGTCTTTATAATTCAACATTTTAAATTCATGTACTTTGACATTTTTTCATCAGTTTAGTTAATTCTTTTATTTTTTTCAGCTAATTCTTTTAATTAAATATATACTGTTTTAGTATGTGTCTTTAAAGGATTTTCTGATACTTGATTACTTTTCTCCCCTATGCTTACAGTAGTTTTATCATAAGCCTCTAGCATATAACAGTATGTTAGTGGAGATGTTGCTATATGGGATTTAAATTTTTTTGGTAATTATTGATTTCATTTAGGATGAAAAAACAAAATGCAATAAATATGCTGATGAGCTTGCAAAAATGGAGCTGAAATGGAAAGAGCAAGTGAAAATTGCTGAAAGTATAAAACTAGAACTAGCTGAAGTCGAAAACAATTATAAAGTAAGTTTAGTAATCACTGTGTGTTTGAAGCATATTATGCTGGTACTTCTTAAAAAATTTGAACATGTTATCTAGTGAAAAGATTATTTTGTATGTTAATGAGAAAACGTGATTCCATAATCATTTACTAACATCTTAAACATGTGTAGCGTTGTGTTGGCAGGTGAGTAATCACACGTGGCACACTGTTGTACATAATGATTTTGTAATCTAGTGAGAATTGCTAGAGATGCAATCATAGTCATAGAACTTGGACATAGCCTCCCATATGTTCTCTGAGCAGTATTGAGAAATACTTGGAAATAAACTGAAATTTTATTTGGAGGACTTACTTTATACTTTGAATGCTGGGCACTGTTAAGATCTGTGTACAAGAATGCCACAATCAGAGAGGGGCCATTTGGAAATAATTTTAGTAACAATGAAGAGGATTTACAGAGGGGGGCAGAGATTGAAAAATGAAGAAATCGAAGAACACATTTATAAAATCCTCCCCTCTTGGTTAATTTTTCTGAGCACCATTAAATAGAACATGGATCTGGAATGTATTTATATTTACAATGCTTGTGCTATAATGAATAGGTAGTGGTTGTTGAATAAATGAATGATTCATAGTTAAAGTGTTGGGGAGTGGAGAAAGAACAGGAAGATGAAAGTCCACATAGCTTCTGAACCTGACTCACTGGATCCTGAGTTTCATGGTGATGGCACAAGATAGGACACAATTTGTTGTTCATAGGGTTGCTGTGAGTTGTTATTGACTCCAACAACAGTAACAATCAAAAAAAGTAGGAAAATGGGTTTGGGATGTTTGCCTTTATATTGCAGGATTGAAAGCATGGTGCAGAATAGGGCAAGGTTCATACATGGTGTTCATAGGGTTACTATGAGTCCTTGTTGACTTGATGGCACCTAGCAACAACAAAATTACAGGAAGGACAATGAAAACACATCTAACCATCACTTTAAAAAGTGGAATTGAAACTTGGGAAAAAGAGCAGATGGTGTAGGAGTTAATGGTATGATTTACATCCAGGGACATGATAGTTGAAGGCATGGAAAATAGGAATGTTCTTCTGCCAGAGGGAATATAGGCACAGGAAACCAACGGAAGAACTTTCGAGAATATCCCTCTTTGTCACTGAGAGGACACAAAACAGAAAAGGACAGACAAAAGAGGGACTTGGGAGGATTACCATATTGATATGGCAGTTTTCTCTAAACCAGTAGAAGAACAATAAGGGTAAAGAAAATGGTAATGGCAAATGATGTAGAAAAATAAGAACTGAGTAGAACAGATGGATTGATTACGAATTGTTTAAACAGAATGTATAAGCTATTAAAAAGTATAAGCAGGGAGTAGATAATGGAAAAAAGTAAATCTATCTTTCTTCAGCTTCAGTTGGCAGAGAAAGACAAAGAAATAAATGGTCTGACTTCACACTTGGAAAATCTCTCCAGGGAGAAGGTATTGAACAATGTTTTGTTTTTAAAAAAGTATAATGTAACACTGTGAATGATAATGCAACTTTATGAAGAGACACACACTATACTGTACATAGGAGGGTGGTTTTGAAAAGTAGTTGAATAAAGACAACACACACAAGTGAAATGTATTTTTTAGTTAAA